GTCATCAAGGAGATCGTGTACGCAAATATGTACGCCATAATAATGGTCGTGATACTTATGGGCGTTAAGACCGAGCGTGACGAGAAGAACCTGCAGCTAGACCACGACACGCCGCATGTCTTGCCTCAGCAGCTGGTTAGGATGCGTCGCACAAAATTCACTTAAGAAGTGCTAAACGCGTACCGCGACCGCCTCGAAAGCTTCTGGATGCCTTGATAAGTTAATGAGATTGAGGAAAACTATCGATACCTTTTTAATACGTACCGCGACGACGTCAATACCTTATTAAATGACGCCTGGGACTGCGTCCCCCGTTTCAAGCGACTTCGCCCATTCTGCGGCGGCCTCGCGACCATCTTTCCAAACACGACGTCGATCAAGTGTGATTTCTCGATCCTAAAATGGGAGCTGAACGAGCCCTTTATCGCTTTCATGCACCTATCTCTGGAAGAAAACTTCATCGAAACATCGCGCCATCCTGAAGCAGGTCTGGTCCTGATAAGCTGGCACAGGACATACACATCCGGACGTAACACGGACCGTTATGCGGTCAGAGGCGCTATATGGACCGATCCACAGTTACTAGTGGAGGCGTCCACAAATTTGCTCAATTTGTTTACGTTTATGAATTTACAAAATTATGAGGCCTGGTACAGTGTCTGCCTAGTAGGGCACTGAACTTCACTGTTGTCAGTGAGAGTTGACTTCGTACTGGTGATTAGTACGAAGTGACCAGTGCCCCGTTACAACTCTCAGCATTGTCACTGACCGACTTTTTGCATAGTCGTGTCCGCTCTGACTGAAATCTTGGAAAGGGTCGAGCGATTGCTTTGTCTGCGCACACTGAATTTTTGGCGTCTTTATTACGATGCTTGTACTAAGTCTTCGGTCGTGGCAAATGCTTCCATGCTGCAAAAGTCCATTGATCTTTTACATCGTAGTCGTTTGTTGTTTTGAAAGAACGTGAGGGATCGGTCTGAACATGTATTTTATTCAGTTTCGTCTCTTTTCGATGTTGCAGGGCTGACCTAGTATACGAGATATTACGTTTCAGACATCGCTGATGAGGAAAAGATACTCGTTGCTGCGGACATCTTGGTCTGAAAAGTATATACTCGTTGCCGCCGTCCAATGCCAGGTTTGTGTTGTAAGACTTTGGATGCCATGCACTAGATCTCCTTGCTCAATCGATCTCCTTGCTCAATCGATGTCCTCTTTCGGCTAGGTCCAAAAGCAATCGGAGCACAATAGGTGGGGGTGTAGCTGACGAGTCATTACATTGACTGTACAATGCAGCATATGATATTGTGACAGCTCGAGTGCGCGTTGCGTTCCTGATGGATGTTTCTTTTTCTTTGCGGCATGGAGCTTCAAGCGTGGAGAGCGATTGCCCTAATCCTCATACTCGATCCGCTGTTCGAGTGCTATGCGACCTGCAGTATGCATTTAATGTCGTGCAAATTCATGTATTCTCGAATCGACAGGAATGTGCGAGTAACCCTGTTAGAAGGCTTACTACACACGAACGAACGTGGCGGATACTAGAGCGTTATCCCATGCGTGTTTGCTTCATCGCGGCCAAAAATTGAGATGCATACAGTAAATGTTGTCATATGACGTTCTTTTTGGTGTCAGTCACAGCTCACCCCTACTTCTTCCATATAAGTCACCACATCTGAACACACGCTTCTGCTCGGCGAAAGCGACGAAGGCCGTCAATTATTTAATGGAGGGCGCATTAAGGAATCGTAACGCCGTGGACACTGACACGAAAGGTCTGGACAGCAAGCGTGTCAAGTTGTTGCGCCCAGCTGCGTCGGAAGCGAGCTCGCCTTCTTCTAGGAAGGCCAGTGTCTCAACATGGCACTTCTTCTTCTCATCATCCGCGAAGAAAGCCAGTGTGATCAGGAAACCCACTAGTGTAGCTATCGCTATCTTAGCGCCTCGATCGGTGACTACAAATGGCTTGTCGATATAGGCTGATCTTGACAAAGTCCCACTTTTCAACCAATACGCCGTGTCTGATAGCGCGTCACCATCCTTGGTCGACTTTGCTCGGTTCACTACACTCTCTGCTGATTGTGTGATAGCGTTTTTGTCTTTCCATTTCTAGCCAAACCTCGCCTTCATGCCATTAAAGAAATATCCCCATTCTTCCTTGTGGCTCGGTGCCGATACCACTTCACCCTGCTATTGTAGCTCTTCGCCACCTGTATGAGCGAGACGACGGGTCGCCTCGCCGTCGTCCTGGGGGATGCTGAACAACTCTCAAGCTTCTTGCGGCCGATACGACGCCGAAGTCGCTTGTCGAGGAGACGCCCAATACAAGCAGGAAGCAAACAGTTTTCGTCATGAACGCCTTACTGACCTTTTCTGCGATGGATGTACCGCAGAACGCTTTGATGCTGAACCGAAACAACGACACTGTTCAGTTTGCGCAGTGGCGTGTACTTCCGGTTGTGTTTTGCGATGTGCAAATCGGATCGTCAAGTTGTACGAACTTTCTACGAACGATCTGCTCGCGTGAAACTCTCGACGCTACTAGTTGACTTTCGTATCCCTTCCAAGCTGCACAAACGACACAATCGAGTGAGCGACAACTCCTACCCCAGATGCAGCCGCTATGTTGTCGCCTTGTGCTTTATCGTTCCATCTTTACACGCACATACACTAGTTGGGTACGTGTATTCCTCTGTGTGATCTTGTGGTTTTTCAAGACTAAACGGATAGAAATGGCGACATCGGTTAAATATGGGCACGATTCGTAGGCCGTGGTACATTACCGATCGAGGTTGATAGCTATTTTTAAACATATTCGGCTGTCATCTCTATGACTTTCATATGTCAAATTATCGATCAAATGGAGTACCCCAGCAAGCCATGGCGACGTTACTAGTGCATATGTCAAGGCGCCACTCGAAGAATGCTTCTAGAATATGCTTCATATCCCGTCCAATATGGAAATTATCGATGCAGTATTCCAATGATTTGGTGCAAACACTCTCAAGAATTTGAAATTGAAGGTAAATCACAGCGGTTCTGGCTCAAGCCTTGCGGACACATTTAGGACGAATAACAGTGTCCACGCTGGCCAAGATTTGTCCTGAGCAATGCATTACAGACCATGTGTGTTGTTTACAAAGGTGTCTAGAGCAGACATTTTACTAGATAGCGATGGTAACAGTTGGTACGATTGCAGGAGGTCATGTATGAGCTTGCATACTATCAAAGCGGAAGATACCTGTCCATTTGTTGCCCAACGCAGACTTCCGCCGTACCAAAGACACAATCTACATTATTGTGGCGACACTATGGTACTGCGCTGTACCATTTCATCCATTAACATCGGATACTGCGAAGGCTGTGGCTACATATAACTTCTAAGTCATTCTATGATATTTATGCAAAGAGATACGGGCGTCGTGGCATAACGATTGAAAAATAAACAACAGTGCGAAATTTACATTTGACACATCCACACGCACCTTAACTTCCCTGTAAATGCACTGCGATGGAACAGGTAATATAAGACGCATCGATAATAAGTGTTCTGGCTGTCACAAATAAGTTTATGGTTATCGTTGGTAGTTATGTCAATGGTGATCGAGGGATTGTCGTCTGAAATTGCCGTGAATATAAGTACATTATTGACGTCTGCAGTGGAGGACATTTTGCACACAAGCGTAGGTACATCGTTTTCTCGGTACACATCGAACATGTAGCACACTTAACGAGATCTATTCATGACGCTTTACGCTTGACATAGTAGTGTTTTTTAAATCAAAACACAAAACAATGACGCTCGCGTCGTAGAGTTCTGTGTCTGCAGCAAATTTCTTACGTGTCAATATTTACCATGATGCAACATGCACTGATCATTTGAGTAACGATTGATGCGACGCCTCTTTACTGCCAGGAATACTCAATCTACAATAATTTGCTACGACAGTTGTGCGAATATCGACAGAAGACTTATACGTGTCTATGTTGTACAAGCATGTGCATGGTTGAGCGTAGAGTATTCATCACATGTGCATTATGATTCGTTTTCAATGCATCATTCGGGTAATTCCATCTTGCGGTGAAGTTTATGCTGTTTCATTTTGTGGTGCTTTAGCTAGTTTCGTGATCATCTGGAGCATTTGTTACACCCCCAAGAACGCGTCTGAGTTTCTTCCGTAGATCTGGTGTAAATGTAACTGCAGAGGGAGTATATACAAACTGCCGTGGCGTAGATGACCAGCCACTACGGGATCTGAGAACCCTTAGCAACGTCATGCGCTCACATTATCCTACAAGGCGCGTCACATTAGACATCTTTGAGTCGACAAGCACAAAATAGGCAAAATATCGCACACGCAGCGTGGCCGAAGTGAAAGTATTTTGGTGGCTAGCGCATGGGTGAGAGTACGCAATTAGCTATGGACATGCTTGCGAGCTTTGTGCTTGCCTGAAAGTACCTGTGCTTTTGTCATTGTAGCATGACCAATATTTGCACGCAGTGATCGCGCTGTACCCGTGTCGTTGAAAACCACAACAGTCTGCTGCACTTGCCCTCGCACATCCAAATGTCAATGAGCACGCGCATGGATCTCCGTATCGCAAGTGCCTACGCTGCTTCTTGGAAGGAAGATCACCAAGCACAAGTTCCAAATGCAAACTCCATTACACGAGTTACTGGCCCACCGCCACTAGCACTGGCAATACTGCTGCCGCTCGAGTTGTATCGGCATCTCGCGGGCTTCGCTACCGCAGGAAACGAGGCCTGGAGAACGATCTAGACTGCACCATTGGTTATCGATTTCCCGGCTCTTGCGTCAAACAGACGACTTGTGCCACACCTCTTCAGCCGTGTGATCGTCGCTAAGTCGATCGCGGACTACCGTCCCGTCGCTATGTTCGCAGCTTTTGTCGAAGACATGCTGGCACTCGCATGCCAGCTTGGACTCTAGATCCAAGCTTGCGGTCTAGACCTGTTCTACTCCATCGGCGTCCGATTGTTACTCCATGTGAGGGTGGTCGTCGACGTTTGCGCCGAGGTCATTTATGACCTGTTCACCGCCTACGACGACGGGACGCGGGTCAAGCAAGAAGCAACTGCTCCACCACACCAGAAACAAAAATATTAGAAAAATATCTTTGACATCAACACAGTACTCCGCTTGCGATCGACACTAGCTTACATGAGCCGTGGAGTTGCAAGCGGTCGCTGGGTCTTCCAGCCTCGAATCCTAGCGATTGTAGGAAAAACATCTGCAGATTCAGCGTCAGAGATCAGCCCATTCACCATTCACCACCACAAACCACACTATATGCACACAGTCTTCCAACCTTCCAGAAAGTAATACACATGTCCCACAATGATGCCAATCAAATCCGTAGTCGCGCTGTTTCCCAGTAGAATCGAGAACGAAAAGAGCACCCACGGCAGGTACGGCGCTGTGAACGGAAACAGACCCAGAAAGCTCATCCGCACGTGCTCGTTCCGTCGGCCCCATACGTACACCATCATGAACGTCAGCGAAGAGCCGAGAAAGTGAATGCTCACGAACGGTGCTACTAACTGCAGCCGAAAAAAAGAGCACGTGCCAATAACATGAGCAAAAACACAACCCCCCGTCAATCTTAGACACCACAGCAATACCACGAGCTGCTTTCGAAACTATACGAGGCACACTATCGCCACGTACGATCATTGCCCCCGCTCCTAGTAGCAGCATGTACACAAAGTCTGCCGTGCGACCCCGAAACGACCCTTCTTCAAGCAACCGGCAATAGCGAGCACTGCACCAATAATGCACCGACAGCAAACCCAATCCCAACAGCTCAGCGTGACCAATGACGCCCGGCGACGGCCTCACATCGTTACAAGTAGTGCTTGGGCAGCGACGTACACAAAGTACATGTGGAACAGAAAGTCGAGACTAAAGAGGCCGAAGAAGAGGAAATTGGTCACGAGTCGCCACACCTAATGACAGAAAAGAGCGGACACGGCACAGCAGCGCGTCAGTCAAACACAGCCAACCATCGAGCCCTTCACCGCGTGTCGTCGTCCCCGCTGTCATTGCCGCACTTCGTGGAGCCGTAGCAACAGAGCAATGGACGACGTACCTGTCCTTTCAAGAAGATGAGCTGAAAGTTGAAATACAGCGAAAAGGGCGACACGAGGTCCAGGGCACAGGCTGTGGTGGTCAGGACCGACCCGGTGAGGTACAGCCGCGACACCACAGGGATGTCGTAGTACCACTCCAGTGGGTCGTTCATCGCGGTCGAGTGCAGCAGACGCACTACGAGACGGCGCAACTCACTGCGTCGGGACTGAGACGTGGCAGAGCGCTGGGAAATGCCGCCACTTGGCAAAGGTGCGGACGGGCCGGCGGCGGGTCGGGTTTGGCCGAACCCGTGGGTTGGGCCGACGACGGCCCGCCCATGTAAACCGAAACGGAGCTCCTCGCTCGCTCGCTCTCTGGTCGAGACGCTTTGGGTCGAGGCGCGAGCAATGGCGTTCGACTCGTGTTGGGCAAGACACAGGTGTCAAAGGAGGGAGAGAGGAAGCGAGTAATGGAGAACGTGCTAAGGGCTCTGATGGGTACGTAAGCGAAGACGACTTGTTTCCATAGTGACATCGCCCGTTCGGTCGGGTTGTATAGTAGCTGATACCGTAGCTGCAAAATGATACGCGTCACTTGACGTGGAATTGAGTCCAAAACGTTCCATTGATCTGTACAGTGCGACGCTCACCCGAAGATGTCGGATGGAATGCCACGCACGATGCCTGGGTGGATGTAAGGGTGCAGGAGTCATACAAGCAATGCGATTAGACTGGTATCAACTGCGCATATAGTGTTGACCTTCTTGTCCCACACGACGGATGACGAGCACCAGTGTCGCTCCAGCTCAGACACGCGTCTTCCTATGGCGAAACTACATTGCAGTTCTATGTCCTCACTGCACATTCTCCCCACACCTGCGCAAAGAATGAAAGCTGGTGACCAACGAGCACGAAACGCTTAACTTCGACCGGACCACAGTCGACAGAATGATTAATGGGTGTTGAAAGACCGCTTTACCGGGAAATGTCATCGAGCGTGCACATGCCTGAAAGATTCGCGTACGTTTGACGGAAGACATCTTCAGTGCAGGGTGTATCAATGGGTGAACGACGGCAGCATGGAAGATGTGCCGTTTTTGTGCTGTTATTGTTGAGGCAATGCCACGACAGACTAAGATCGCATCGCTAGGCATTCTATTGCAACAAGTCGGAGAGTGAGAGGCAAAAGATCAACGTGCATGCGCCTGGAATTATATGCAAATGGATCGGGTCCAGTATACTCAAAGATTCAGTTTCTAGCAGCAAGGAATCGTGGAGTCGAGCAAAATGCAGTGTCGTCTACTGTGCAACCTAGAAAATGGACTTGCGCCGGACGTACGGGGACGTATGCAGTTCTCGCATGTTTCTTGAGCCATGTGCAAAGCGGCTCGATGTCCTACCCTCGCCGCGACGAGACGACGTCGATAGTGGCGTCCGAACCTTGCGACGGTGACGACGGTACCAAATGGAGAGCGCAATCAGCAGCGTCACCGTGAGCAACATGTACATCTGAGGCTTATAGATCGTTGGAAGCAATCGAGGGAGCATGTCCTCCGTAGCTCCGGCAATGTTATGCTCGAATAGACACGATGAGATCCTGCCTCGAGCATAGCCACAGTGTTCCACCAAGTTACAAATCGTTCCCTCAAGCATATGACAAGACAGCTGCATCGATAAATGCGGCGTATCACACGAGATCTTCTGGGTCATGCCAGCTTGAACGTCGATCATGGTGACTGGATCGTACTCGGGCACCACGGCAAAGTTGCGGTGATGCAAGCTTGCCCGGTCGACCTTCATCGACGTACCGCCGATATGGTGGACCAATTTACTATAGCTTTGGACGAATCCGGGCGGCGAAAAGGTCACAGATGTCGTCCCGACGATGGAGCCAACGAGCCGTGCAATGCCACCGCCCATGGAATGGCCCGTCAGCACAACTTTTCGGTCCGTGAGGGAGGTGACGTAGTCCAGAAGTTCATGATAGTACCATGACTCGTGTTGCAGACCAAACAAACCAATCATTTCACTGTACAGCTCAATCAGTGTGGAAAATGTGACGTCAGGCCAGATGCGGATGGTCGGAAATATCGACGACAGCACCGAGAAGACCACTGGCTCGAAAAACATTTTCACGTCCTCGACAAAATCCGTGAATCGCCATATATCGGTACCTCGCACAGAAATGACGCTCGTGTTGAGCTTTGGGATGTGAGCTTCGAAAAAGTCTAGCTTTGATCCGGTCTTGGTGTTCAGCGCGGGCAAGTAAACGTGCACGTCGCCCAGTTCGTCGTTAAATATTGCCGAGATAAACTCTGCCGTGTCGTTCGACAAAGGGTTGAAGTACGCCGCTTCAGCGAAAAAAGCCAAATCAATCAGGCTGAGTCCATTCCATTGATTCGAGCAGCTTGCATACAGCGGGTCGTCGACGAAGATAGCCGGGTTTGTCTGATTCGAAAGACCCAGGCGCAACTTCACAACTCCCGTATGATGAATGTAAATCGTGTCGTCCTCATACTTCACAGAAGTGGCATCTGGGAACCACTTTGCGTTCTTCTGAAGAGCGGAAAGAACGCTGAACCCTGAAAGTGCTGCTACAAACAATAGCAGGATAGCAATCGCGATATTTACGAATTTCTTGGCCGTTCGGTGACCCAAAAGCGGATGGTCATTGTCGAACGTTGTCTCCTGCAACATTTGTTGGAGAGACTGTCCCACTTCGCTCAACGATGAAGCAGCTTCGGAGCGCAAAAAGCGATCAAAGAAGAAGAGGCCGACCACAATGAAAACGTGGGGTTTCTCCGTCATCCTCGAGCTCACAAAGATGATCGTGGCCATTGCTAAAGCCAAAGGGCCGGCAAACAGTACCGCACGGGCACTCAGCAGACTGACCATTCGAAGGCAGATGAGCGATACCACGTAAATGGACGGCAGTAGCAAATTGATAATAGTAAGCTCCAGCTGGGCGTGCACAAAGCCCATGTGTGGATGCACGCAAGCTCGAAGAAACACAATGCCCTGTCCAACGACGAAGGTAAACTTGAGCCGCTCGAAAAAGCCTGAGAGCGCCTTCTCGTTCGAGTCACACTTGCTTACGTTGGGATACGTGAAGCACGTGACTGCTAGAAACCAAAGTATCCATCCGACGAGCAAGGCCATGCCAAAGATTTCCCACTGGTAGTTTGTAAGATCGCTCAGAGGCGTGATTTTGAGACCGATGTGCCGCGCACTCCATTCAACAGTCCACAGACCACCCAAAAAGTTCATCCCTAGCAACCATCCCCCGAGGAAAAACGTTTTCATGGTGCCAAGTCCAGCTAGCGCCGAACGCCATCGTGGCAAGATCTCTAGCGAGAGCTGAATGAACTGGCAGATAGCAATCGCAGTAGATATACGCAACGCCCGCTGAAACACCGGGTGCTTATCGGTCAAGAGCTTCATGTACGACTCTTCACACATTGCATGGATCAGCGTTGACGACTCTTGCAACACCGTGCTCGTGCAATACGACGGAACCATGATCAAGCTAGGAAGAATGATCAGTAGAGGCATCGCGACTGTAAGAATGACTGCTTGTGGACTGCATTCGCACGCAATAATGCGTCGAATCAGCGGAAAGTTCTCCAACGATTGCCACGTCAGGATCCACGTGGCCCGTCCAAAAGACAGGATAATGCCCATCACCGACACGTACACGACAACAACGCAGACTGCTTGAGTGAAGGGCATGGTGATGATCGTGCTCATGTTCTCCCCCAGCACAGCTCCGACGTTGAAGAGGAATCCCCACAGAATCGCGAGAGCCTGCAGCATCACGTAGACAAAGAAGAACGACACGACAATGCGCGCATTGTTCACGCGCAGGAACACGAGCGTGGGAAGCGCCACGAACATCAATCGAAGCGCCGTTTCCCAGCGCAAAATGCCTTCAAAGTACCGACGCCGCCACTGGACCAGCTGAGTGGACTGGAACGTCTGCAGCTTACCACACCGTAGCGAAGGCAATGGGCGCCGCTTTAAGTCGCTGTCACTCTTGATCGTCGAAGGTGTCCGCTGAACGTCGTCGGCTTTTTCAGTGCCGTGTGGACGCGTCGCTTGGTCCCAGACGAACGTCGACGACGACGCGCGCTCGGACTCGGGACGGGGCGGCGGTCGGGCGCTGCTGGACGTAGCAACGGCGTCCGTTGTGCGATCGGTGGACGGCGCCATGACGTGCGTGGGGGTCGGCCGTCGCGGGCGAGTTGAGGTACGGGGAGCTCCAGTCGTCTTGTCTCTATTGCGTTTGTCAAGTACAGTACTGTACGTGTGCTCACGTCTTTTGGCGATCGATCAGCGGGTGATGATGGGAGTGTGTGCGGGTAGGGCGGGTGCATTCTAACCAATCCGAAGCCGAGCATTTGACTTTCTACCACTCGTTGTGCAGACGTGGACGATCTCAGGAGGAAGCCACTGTCCGTGCAAAAAAGACGCGACCCGAAGGACCACGAGCATTTGATACAAATACCACAACGACAAGTAACTGAATGGGAATCGTTTTGTAATGGCTCTTCGACTCGCAGCCATGTATCCTTTCGGCGGTAACGGATGGACCTGTTGCTGTTTCCTCCACATTGACAGATGACAGACCACTAACGATTGTGGAGCAAAGCCTTCAGTGGGGTTACAAACTTGTGCACGACAACGCACCCTCACGGGGTCACCGCGTCGTCGACTGCAACTGTGGCAGTTATGCCGTGTGCGCCAGGTAAGCCTCGAGCATACTGGTGGTTGCGCTGTTGAAGCCTTTGACGGGTGCATTCTCGTTGCGCGAAGCGCTGAGCTGTGCCCGCACTTGCTTGGCCAGCACCTTACCGAGCTCGACGCCCCACTGGTCGAAGCTGTTGATGCCCCAAATCGCGCCTTGCACGACCGTACGGTGCTCATAAAGCGCCAAGAGCTGGCCGGCCGAGTAGGCGTCTAGTTTCTTGAAGAGCAGGGAGATTGACGGACGGTTGCCCGGGAACAACTTGTGGTTGCGCAAGTGCTCGGGCACATTCTCGGCCTTGAGGTCCTCGAGCGACTTGCCGCGGGCCAGAGCATCTGGCTGCGCGAAGAAGTTGGACATGAGCTCGTCGTGGTTCGACACCGGCTCGCCCTCAAGCTGCACGGGATTCTGCGACTCACAGAAGCCGATGAAGTCGCATGGTACGACGCGACCCTGGTGAATGAGCTGGTAAAAGCTGTGCTGACCATTTGTACCCGGCTCGCCAAAGTTCACTTCGCCCGTCTGGAATGGCAGCTCGACGCCCTCTGCGCTTACCCGCTTGCCATTGCTTTCCATGTCAACCTGCTGGACGTGAGCAGCAAAACGCAACAGCGCTTGCGAGTACGGCAGGAGTGCACGGGAACTGTGGCCCAAGAATGACGAGTTCCAGACGCCCAGCAGACCCATGAGCACCGGTAGATTGGCGCGCAGTGGGGCGTCCAGCAAATGCTTGTCCATCGCATGTGCGCCTGCCAAAAACTGTTCCATGACGTCATAGCCGTACTGCAACGCCAGCGGCAAGATTCCCACAGCACTCGTGACGCTGTAGCGTCCGCCGACCCAGTCCCAAAAGCCAAAGATATTGCTTCGATCGATACCAAACTCCTGCACGAGCGGCACCGCTGAGCTCGCGGCCACCATGTGCTTGGCGACTGCCTCCGCCTCCGAGCTCCCTTTTGCCGTCAAGTCATCGACAATCCATTTTCGAAGCGTCCGGGCGTTCAGCATCGTCTCCGCTGTCGTAAACGTCTTGGACACTACCACCACCAGCGTCTCTTCCGGGTTCAACCCACTCGTCGCGCGGGCCACATCAACTGGATCGACATTGGCCAGAAACCGGAGCGTCCGACCGGTCGCTGCAGCTTTCGCTGCCGGTTCGTGACGCAGCGCTTCACACACAAACTCGGGGCCGAGGTAACTGCCGCCAATGCCCACGGAAATCACGTGCGTGAGCGGTTTGCCTGTCGCACCAACGAGCGCTCCGCTCCGCACGTTGCGAGCAAATGTCTCGATCGCGTCCAGTACCTGATGGACGTCCGGCACGACGTCGCGGCCGTCCACAACCATCGACTGCGTCTTGGGAGCGCGCATTGCCATGTGCATCGCTGCGCGGTCCTCAGTGCCATTGACGTGTGCGCCCACGGCCATCGACTGCAGCTTTGCAGTCACGTCTGCTGCTTCGGCGAGGTCCACGAGCAGCTCGAGCGTCTTGAGCGTCGCGTTCTGACGGCTGTAGTCCAAGTAGATGCCCTCCTGCTGCGTGCGCATGGCCGCGTTGCGTGCGTCGTCTGCCAGGAGATCGCGCAGGTGCGTGGCCTGGATCTCGGCCGCGTGCTCGACCAAAGCGGTCCACGCGGGCGTGTCGTTGATCATGAGACGGGTTGAGGAGCGGCACGTGCGTTCGGGGCGGAGTTTTGGCGAATGAGAGGGTCTCTGGTGGGCGGGTGGGACGTAGTAAGTGTGACAAGACGGGGAGGGAGGGAAGGGGGAGGTAGTCATTGGTTGAGAGGCTCGTGCGAGGACGAGATGCGGTTAGCTGATTGGCGCAAAAGTGAGTCGCGCTTAAAGCGACCGCCACTCAGTGGGCTTTTCATGTGCATGGCGCTCTGCGTCGGACATTGTTCGTTTATCTTTGTATCGTAAAGACCGGTGGCCCGACGTGGTGGACTGACCACTATGACATGATCTGTGCTGCGTGAACATTGAGGCTTCAGGCGACTGATTGGAATTGCCGCATTGACGGTTGACCAGGTTGTTAACTCTTTTACCACACAAAATACACTGTGTCTGTAGAAATATGACCTCAATATGCGTTGTCAAGTAGCACCAGCTGGTGACGCCATGAACAATAAATGTACAAAACAGTTGGCTCTCTGCGTGATCGAGCGGAGCAAAATGTCAATATGTATTGGCGTTACACCTAAGTAGCTCGTCAGCTGCGCTTGCGCACACCTGTAGAACGCAGCAACCAGCTGACGACTTCTCTAACCCATGCCTAAAACTCAACACCATAATGTCTGCTTGGCGTTAAACCGTTCTTCCCGTCTACATGCGGTTGCTGCTCCAACATCTCCAAAAGACCACGAATTGCGTCCCGATCACCGTTGCTGAACACTTTTTTCGCGCTCGCAACTTCCTGTATAGATTTAGTGGCTACGTATTGCAAGGTGTATGCTTTTAAGGCGCGAAACGAAGACGAGTCCGCCGGCAATTCAATGACCTCGTAGCCGGGTTTCCAAGCAGCCAACATGGCTTTTCTAATCTTGGGCCTACGACCACGCATTCCCTCCATCTCGTTTTCCGACAATGTAATGAGGCGCGATAATTCAAGGGGAGTGATCCCTTCACGAATCAATTCATCAAAACGGAGTTTTTCCATTGTTTGCCCCAGTGACTTCAGGTACACATTCTCCTTCATCGCTTGAAAGAAACCTCCATACAGCCACACGGCATCGGTCTCATGAGCTTCATTCAAATAATTGAGCGTGCTTTCGACCGAGAATTTATCGCCACCCTTTATCTTTCTGTATAGCTCAGTGAATTCGAGCCACAGAGTTAGTCCGCCTTGCCAAGAGTCCACTATCTCAAACACGTCTTCAGGCTCCATCATCTTCTCCAGCCACAATCGCTGCAAACTCTCGTGTGCAGTTTCGCTGCCACTCCCTAGAAGCCTTTGTTGTAATACGTCAGCGCGACGTTGCATTCCGTCGCGATCACGAAGCCAATGAAAAAACCTGATCGTGTTTTCCTCTCCAAATGATGTCCGCATAAAATTTATAGTCTCGATGTCTCCGTCAGAGCCTCGTCTCTCACTCATGCAACCTCTTGCAAGCCACTTCTCAAATTCCTCAGTCGACGCATGTGCTGTCAAGTGGATGTTGTTTGTCGCTGGTGGGCGTACAAATGACGTAAACTTCTCTGCCACTCGCCGCATCGATTGAAGAAACGTTTCATTCGCCCTCTCCTCGTCGTCCTGATCGTGCTTATGCTCGTCCTCAGCTGCAGCGTAGTGCTTTGACACTTTTCCGTCAGGAAATGCGGTCGTGTTCAGACGCGAACTGTTGTCCAGGCCGAGGTGGGCACCACCGGGCAACACGCCGCCCGCATAAGCGATGAGCAGGAAGACAAAGCCGTGCATTCGCATATTTGTATATTATTGATGTCCTAAGAAGATTGCAGAATGAAGAGTGCAGTCGTGGCCGCTTCCATTGGCTTTGCGACTACTGATCGTAGCTACCATCTTGAGAGAGCAGGAAAGACGCAAGAACGGTACGCCACTGATGCAAAAAAAGGCTAGGCCTTGGAAATCCAACGACTGTCTTTGCTTGTCTGAGCTGGCTTTTCGCACATCGCATCCCGACAGAGTCAACAAACGGAGATGCGCATACATTTTCGTCGCCACAACTCGACAGACCCATGAAGTAGTGATCCCATACATATGGAAATTGACGTAGGGCCAAGTCGACCCATCAATCGGTCAAGCCACAGTTCGACCGAAACTCGGTCGACGAAAGATAGGTAGGCCCTAATGAGGCATGAGAGGGCACAGCCTGCACCGACTCCAGTTAAGGAATGTGGACTGGGGCAAGACACATGCAGATGGTAGTGACGCTAGACGACGTAAATAAGCCTACCCTTAGCAGCGTGCGGCAATAACAGCTGCTCCCCACAGGCATCAGTATACTTGATCCGGGAGCTTTGCGAGGTTACGAAGAAAGACCCAGTGGCATGGACTGAGCCTAGATTGTATGCCCCATTCAAGAGAAAAGGATCTGTACTGCCAATGCAAACGTAGCAGGAGAAGCATGTAGTTGTCTTAAGATACGAAACGTCGGCTGTCGAGCTTTACCACTCATCCAGGAAGGAATAACAAAACCGAAACTTCGACCCGGTTGGAATACTAGTAAAAGCTCTTGTTAGATGTAAGTCACCTTGCTTTCTCAACCCATTTCGCGACCTCGTATGCTTTTGTAGTATCTCATTGTACTATGATCAAGTTGAAGTCGCGCACATTCCCATATGTCTACCTCGCTACTAGGCTTGTAAAATCATACTACCGACCGCCTGTCATAGAGCATGTTTCCAGTACAATGCCTGCCCAGGGGTGCACGAGCCTGCAGGACCATAAGTCTGACTTGCAATCACTGGTTATAATAGCGAAGATGTGCTGTGTAGGCCCCCGAATGTATACGGTTTGAGCAGATAATTGGAGCAGCTCAATATATACTTTTTATGCATCTGCGACGTATTCTACTCATTCTTTGCTCCGCGCAACTCGCTAAAGTTTATATTGAGGGTACGTCAAGATAGATGAGCATGCCTTAAAGCCGGCCGTCCGGTACAGGTATTTAGGGCTTTCACCTGGACTTAGGTTTGGGCAATCAAAAACCTACTCCGAATGTGTTTAATCAGGTGCTTACCTATGCCATGATGTGTCCTCGTGTGACTCATCGACACGTATGCCTGCGTGCACTGTACAAAAGCAGATGCCAAGGAGGTTGGCTAATGTCCTACGCACACTTAGCACACACAGGTTTGTCCTTCGGACTCGCAATAGTGACAAGCCCACAGCAAACGAACGAAGGATGCGATTTGGCAATAAGGGCATGGGTCAAAATGAACAACGAGATACAATGACGCACGGAAGCGATTGAGAGTGAACGACTGCCACAGTTCATACCATGGTCTTCTATACAACACGCAGCAGATTAAATTACCAGTCTCGCACACCTCGTTGTTTCACATTGATCGTCACGCCAGAATGACTGCCAATCCGATTTGTCGATTTTTTTTACTTAGCCTGGTTACCATCAAAACTCGACTAAGCTTGTTAAGCGAAATTGCCATGGTTGAGCGATTGCCACCCAGGCCAACTGTGTTGCTTAATCACGGCTTCCATTACAGGCAGACGAGTTCTTCCGTTTCTGCCGTCTAGCATATGGTGGCACCTTGTAAAAGCAGCAAGCCCAAGTCTTTTTGGTTGCCAATCCATGACGGTAAACGTGGATGCAAAGAGAACACATTGCGCAGGAGCGCTGCTTTGCATATGCTTCTACATTGGTAAAAACACAATACTTCTGAAATAGACAAATACTGCTACAGCTGCCCTCCGATAACAGCTAATTTGAAGGAAGGCGACTGCTCTCGAACTGCAGCTATATTAGCTGCCCAAAGAGATTAGCATCTTGCCGTATCTAGCTGATTTTTCCTTACCTTCTTACAACCGTCGTGCGCACGCAGCCGATGTTGGCTTGATCGGACAGAACGGGGCTATCGGGCCAGCCGCGCGGTGATGTTACTGACGTTGCGGAGTCTCTCTACAGCAGCAGAAAGGTGCGTAGGTTCGTGGACATTTCAAAGCGATGGGAAGCGTCAGTAGGTTCACAAGTTGTCGCCAGAAACGTCATGCCTTGGCGTTATGTAAACGTCATTCAGCTGTTTTGGACCAAAATGTATGATTGCAGAGATGATGTTAGTCTCAGATATCGAGTCGGTTTTCCCATAGTTTTGTACACCCGGGGTGGTGCGAACACAAACCTACACTCGTACTTGTGTGCATACAGTAGAGAATCATCTGTGTCCTGAGATACTTCGGTTGAAAAGCTGGTGCGCTTTTGAGCTTTCATATCTAGAAAGCAATGCTGTTGTCGGACATCAGCAAGTCGGGAGTTGTACGGATGATATTTGTCATGTCATTAAGTATCTACAAGACATGCGATACGCTGAGCATGCTTACGCTAGTCGTCTATATGTCACAAATGGATGTGGGCAAGTCTAGTTTGGAACCAAATTGCGCTATCACATTAGTGAGCAAACGAGGAACTTTGGGCAAAGTGGTAGAGGATTACATTGAAATGATCGCATGATAGATCGAGGAGATGACACAAAAGTAGATTTTATCGTTCTAGATGCATATACATTACTTCACCCCGTAAATTATTGCTCGCTGCGTGTCATTCTTGACTGCGACATGTTTATTGTTAAGTTTACACGGCAAACATGTAACGGGGCAGCCCGTTACATGATATTGTCACTTAAGGAAAGTGACAATAAAGAATATAAGATGGATATTCTTTAAACAATATCACCAAAGTGGTGATATTGAAGGGTCGACCAAAGGGTCTGTTCATTGGTTGATATCGTGATGATATCAACCCACCAATCGCCGCAAGACGCGCGCAATGAGTGGTGACGAGACGTCACCATACATGCAGTTATATTAGTATAATTGAATTAAGTCAAACGAAGAGACAGTAGTTTAAAGACTTAATTTATTAATATAACAGTTCTACTTTTACCCTACCTACGCTTCCTCGCTCGCCACGTGTACGTCCGTCGGGGCACCCAAATCCCTTGCGTTAAGTTACGCAAGGGTGTGCCCCGTTACACCTGGTAGCACTTTGTAGTCCTTCCAAGGACCACATCATCCAACATGAACATGTTGGATGAAGAAGACACCTTTCACGCCACGCGTGAAGGGTTTACCCATTTGAGTGACATCGAATGGGGTGCGGTAGAACGAATGAGTTCTACCGTAGGCGAACTCGTCGTCAGCACCATGTTGGAGTCTCTAGACAGAGACCAACAACATGCTGCTATCGCCAAGTTCATTCACAATGAGCTTGCTCTCGAGAGGGAGAAAGTAGCCTTGCTTCACCAGCAAGGCTCTCAACAGGCCGAGCAGTTGAGAGAACTCGGTGCTCAACAGACGGAGCTGTTGAGACAGCAGCAATTCCATGCTGCTGTGGGCGGGACGGCGCATGCGCGTCGTCCCGAAGTGATGAAAGTCGACATCTCCAAGTACAGTGGAGTCCCGGAGGACTCCCTGTTACTGTGGTTTGTCGAACTCGACAGAGCCCTAAGGGCTCGTCGCGTCGAAGATGAGCAAGTGAAACTCACATTTGCTCAGACCCACTTGGCAGGGCGTGCCAAAACTTGGTCCCTGGGACTCGAGAGTAGCGACCCAAATGTGTTTAGGTCGCTAGATGACTTCAAGTCCCGGCTCAGACAAACGTTTGAGCCGCCACGTGCTGAGTTCAGGGCTCGTTCAGAGCTCCTGAAACTCAAGCAGGGTAAGCGTGATGTGCACGCTTACGCTCAACATATACGACTCCTTGCGAGTAGTATAACTGCAAACCCAGTTCATGAACACACGTTGATTACGGTGTTCATGCAAGGGCTCGCAGAAGGGCCCGTCAGGAGCCACCTGTTCCGCCTTGAGCTGAATACGCTTGAAGAAGCGATATCAGCCGCGGAACAGGAAGACTTTAGCATGAGACAGGCTCATGCTAGCTCAAACTCTTACCGTCCACCGAGACGACAAGAGATCGGAGGTCCAGAACCAATGGACCTCTGTTATGTTGAGAGCGAGAGACCTCGCTCTACAAGCAACAAGCGATTGCAGAGGTGCAATCGCTGTCAGAAGTTAGGTCACTACGCATACGAGTGTAGTGCTCCGCGCCCAGTACCAAACAGTACTGAGCGAAATGGACGACCATTCGCCAGAAAGGGCAATGGGCGTGGGTCCAGCGCTGTTGCGAAGCCGCAACAGCGAGACGGGCCATCAAAAAATGGTCGGGGTCAGTAGGGGCGGAGCGCCCTACTGATCCAGCAACCTCAAGAGAATTTGCAAACCTCTTGACGAAAGTTGATCCAGATACACAATCATTGTGTGTCTCTGCACCTGGTGATGACGTTTCGCTCATCACCTTGAAGTTGGAAGCGACAAATGACTTGTCGCTTCGTGCCCTAGTAGACTGTGGGGCGTCGAACAACTTTGTTCGTCGCCAGTCACTAGAGGGTCGTAGGCTCAAGTTCGTTGAGCGCGACATTCCCCTCACAAGGATGACGGTGCGCCTTGCAACAGGCGCATCGATAACCGTTGAGAAACGTGTAGTAGGAATCCACTACACTTTAGAGGGCGAGCAGTACGATGATGATTTCATCGTACTAGATCTGGATGACAAATTTGATGTCATCCTGGGATTACCTTGGCTCAGAAAATACGAGCCAAGGGTGAGCTGGCAGCATCGATCCGTGAAGATGCCTGCTGCTTGTTCATCAGATGGCCATCTGATGAACATCTTGGAGCGTCCACAAGCGTGTGGATGTTCTGCGAGTGAGTGCGATGGCCTCACT